TGCGTTAATTTTTTTAACGCGTTAATTTTTGTGTAATTAATTAATCTTAATTAACGCGTTAAAGTCCCGGCCCTAATATATATATGTATATGTATATATATATGTATATACACACACACACACACACACAATAAAATGTTTAGTAATGAGAAGGAAAAGATCTGGACTAACAATTTTACATATTAGCCACAAATGCAGCATTTATTAAAGCCCTGTTTACATTTACAGACACTGTAATTTTTGTATATTGCAAGACAGAACTTTTTGGAAAATGAATAAACGTATCGATCGTCATCAGTAGCTGGATCTGAAGGGATTTTGTATCCATTAGTTTTTTTCCGTTAAAATAGTAACAGACACACAAACCCACCAATTACGAGGCAGGGATGCCTTCTGCCTGCTTTCTCACTCACTGTGTAAGTCATAGTCAGTCTCCATACTTCTGGGCAGTGATCACAAAGACATCAAAAGAAACCTAGAGTACACACGCCGCTGTGTCAGTTGAACCCAGAGGGTTTACAATGTAAATGTAAAAGAGGTTTAATTGGATACTTACCTAAACTGTTTGAGTATAAACTACGGAGGTATGATGCAAACCAAATCTCAGCTGGTGTGTCCGTTTTTGTTTGTGTCTTTTAAAATGTGCAGATGTGATTGACCTGACTGGGGATGATAAAGATGACCTGCAGAGGGCCATCGCCCTCAGCCTGGAGGAGTCCAGCCGGGCTTTCAGGGAGACGGGCATCACCGATGAGGAGCAGGCCATCAGCAGGTGGGTCAGCAGCATCAATGACTCGTAACAATTTGCCAAGAAATTCAGAAATTGCACTCTGAACATCTTTGGACAGATGTTGTGCTTTTATTTTGTATCATTGGATTGGTCTAAATTGTTAATAAAATCCTTGTCAAATCCTTCTTTATACCTGATGAGTTTGCTGTAAACACTATAATGGATCGTATCTGGTCAAATAAGGCAGAAGAAATGTCTACCTCACACAGCTAGTGGTGTAATGCTGCTCTTTTTAATGCCAACTGCGCTCTTCACTGCTATTTGCCTCATATGCGAGTGACTATTACATAAGTGTATGAATGAAAAAAATGGTTTGTTTTCTCTATCGACTTCCTCTGTTATGTCACCGTTTAAAAAGACAAATGTCGCCCATGGCAGATCTTACCAGCTGTCACTAATTAACGTAAATTTTGCGAGTAACTTGTACGCAGGACAACATTACTTTTGGCTGTTGTCAGGTTCATGTGCTCTCTGCAGTCAGTGTCTGCACTCGGCTAGATCTGTATGCAACATTGTTTGTGAGGTAAAATAAGCATCACTCTAACACCATGTTCAACCATAAGTGTTTACTATAGTCCCAACAACTCCAACATGCTGATAAATCACATAAGAGGTCCCCCCCGAAAAGTGGATTATTCAACAATTCAGTCAGAGAAGACAAATCAGTGTTGTTGTTGACTGCTATTCTCAAAATCCAATCGTCGCATTGGCCCATGAATGTGGTTATGGAACAATATGTCTGATTTGACATAGTATTCCTTGATTTCTCCAATTTATTATGATATATAGAATTTTACAAAAAAACTTGACCAATCAGATTTGACTGTCAACTCCTATTTGAAGACAACTCACATCCCATAATATTTACATGTAACAAAAAAGTATTCCTGTCAAAGAGACAAATAGACTGTGTCTTTCCCTCTTGAAATAAATGCAGTTTTGACATCAGGTCTTGCATATTTTGGACATTCCGAGACGAGGTTAGAGGTTTGAATAATCGTATAATGACTATTTGAAGTCACCACTTAAACCTCATATTTTTCCTTTCATTCACTTTTTAGGTTTTTTTTATAGTGATGAAGAATTATCATATCACATAACTAAGGGATAAAGTGCAGGAAATCACTCTACCACGATTGGGTTCAGCATGAGCTTTCAGAGTTGGGGCAGAAAGTTCTTGCAATGGTCATTGAGTAGAAAAACAACATTCATTGCTTTTTTAAAATCTGTTAATCTTTTTAGAGTTTTGGAGGCCAGCATTGCGGAGAACAAGGCGAGTCTGAAGCGAACCCACACCGAAGTGTGGAGCGATTCCCCCAACCCGTACGACAGGAAGAGGGTGGACACCTGCTCCGTGGGGCTGAAGAATGTCGGCAATACCTGCTGGTTCAGTGCTGTCATTCAGGTGGGAACACGCACGCACGCACGCACGCACACACACACACTCACTGATGGTCCAAGTCAAAGGCATTGATTTAAAGAGCCCTCTAAATGATCCATAGTGCATGAGACAAATGCTTTATGGGGTGTCCAGTTCCACTTTTGCTAGTTAAAAGGAGCCTTTACTGGGTGCAAGCAAGGGGCTGTATTGAGTTTCTTTATTAATCTGGATGGCCTACCTGCCTGTCAGCCTTCAATCTCGTGGCCTCATTGGTCATGTTCGTGTGTGTTGAAGGATTTTTTCCCGGCTGTGTATTTTTCAAATTCTAGCGCACTCGAGCTGGATTCTCCAAAATTACCTACCCCACCTTTAATATGTCATGGGTGTAACATGAATCTAACAAACAAAATATCAACGTTTTGGATGACGCTTTGAAGCTTCCAACTATTCTGTACAGCTGTCCTTATATGAATTAGTTTCATATTGTGTTCACTGATTAGTACGACATTCGGTTTTCTATATGTCGCTGTCTATTGTTTGGGGCTACTGATATAATGTTGTGGCATTAAAATGACAACTGTGTCAGTCTGAAACTGACAGTGTCTGCTGGGTTAAGATAGGGCCTAACAATAAATAAATAACCCTTGTCTAAAGAGCAGCTCTATACCCTTTTTTCTGATTGTGCTCCCTTTGTTTTCACCATCTCCTCTTGTACTTTGCTTACTCACACCTTTTTCAAGACTGATGGGGGTATTACCTTTTATATATTTCATAGTAATATATAAGAAAATGATCCAAATGGTAATGTGCTTGAAAATAATAGTATATTTTAGCCCAGCTGTCACGACTTGTTTCTTGTATGCTGGATGAGTCAGTGGTAGAATGTGACCTGAGCTGGACTGTGCCAGATGAATACTGGATACACCATCACATGGTGCCTGGCTGCTGTGTGTAATAAAACCCTTTGAGAAGAAGGCAGTGCTGCAGTAAACAACATTTTATTTCCCCAACAAAATGTAGAGAAAAGGTACCTAAGAAGTCAAGTATTGCATATAGCATACATATCTAGGGTCAAGTAAAAGTGTGAATAATTATAGAACCGTATAGCAGTTTTCTATCTTTTTACACAGTAGAATACCTATCTTTGTCAAATGTCCTAAAGCTGTATATGTCTTTCTTTATCATTTGATGTTACTAACATGTCCTCAACTCTTCCCAACCTCAAGTCTCTGTTCAACCTGCTGGAGTTCCAGAGGCTGGTGCTCAACTACTCTCCCCCAGCACAAGTCCACGATCTGCCCCGCACCCAAAAGGTAAGAACCCCCCCCCCAGGTCCTCAACAAAGGAAGCTAAGAGTGAAAGTGTGGTGCTTAAGATTATTAGTTGAGTGTATTGGTTTTTGTGAGACGCCATTCAGGTGCTGCGTGATAATGACCTAGAATCCCAGCAGCTTGGCACGTTGTCTAGTAGTATCTAGTATGCAGGAATTCCAACCATTGGTCTGATGAAAACCTTGGTATTATTCCAACAGGACAGAAATGAACATGCAAAGAGAGAGTGTTCAGACAATTCCTTGAGTTGATTCAATCAGATATAGTCACCACCCCATTGGCAGAGTAGCCATGAGTAGGTAAATGCCGGTATAGAAAGCGATAGTTAATAAGGCCAGAGTGAGGACGAGTTGGTCCGTTTACCCCAGGAGAATAATCACAATAATGTCCTATCTTCTGCTGCTCACCTCATAACAATAGCTAGTTACATAGCTCCCAAACCACACCACTCAATTGTAGGGTAAATTATGAAAAGACATTTATCTTTTCATTTTGTAGATTTCAAAAAATGAAATATTTTGGAAAGAACAGAACTGTCCTTAATACTAATTGGTAAATCTTAATTCAAGCCCACTTGAATAGAACACTAAATGATGATGTATTAGTCGGTCTCTCCGTGCTTCCCAAATTCCTCAGCCTGTCTGGGGAACTCCCTTCCTGAACAAACTGAAGATATGAATCTGTACTTTCAACAATACATCTGTTTGATGCTGCTGAACACATAAGTGTGGTAACATTTGATCATATACATATTTTTTTGTTTGAAAAGGCTACACTGACTAGAGTGTATTTGGATTCACTTCATAGTTGATTGTTTTACTGTGAGCAGGAGCACAGGAACCTGCCCTTCATGCAGGAGCTGAGGAACCTCTTCTCCCTCATGGTGGGTTCCAAGAGGAAATATGTGGATCCGTCACGAGCTGTGGAAATTCTCAAAGACGCCTTCAAGTCCAGTGAGGCGCAGCAGGTATGTCTCATTCTGCCATAATCTGCTTTGCAAAATAACATTCTGTTCACACAGTCCAATGAACACCACGTCATCAAAGAGTATGTTCTTGTCCCTACATGAGTATCTCCTACTGATGAAAGCAAACACTTCACCCAAGACTGCACCAGCACAAGGCTTTACATTATATAACTTTTACAATACACAACTTGTCTTTACGAAAGTTAACCTATCATGCTTTTCGAGTTTTCCCTTTTTTTGTAGTGTGTTCTAAAGGTTTTTGTGCATGTACATGTTGCAAAGGCAGAACTCCCTGTGTTCCCTCCAGAGGGAGTTTCTCTCCCACACATTACATAGTGACATCACTGTTAGACGTTTGCTTCTATTGGCCAGCGCTCCAACATATTGTAAGTGATAGGCTAAGAGGCAGGACATATCTAATCGGTTGACCAATCCCAACAGAGCCGGCCAGCTAAGCAATCAGAGCAGACTGGGCTCTTTCAGACAGAGGGTGAAAAGAGGTGCTGCAGCACAGGCAGTATG